TGGCCGTGGCGCCGAGCGCGAACTTGTCACTATCTGTGTGTGACACGCGCGGTTTAATCGCCGTTAATCATTTCCCATTTAGCCGTGTGCGTGTTTGTGTACGCAGACCGTGTAATGTGACGATTCGTTTAAGATCGTCGAGAGTGTACTCATATAGGTACGAATATATAATTATGTACACTCCCGGTATTAAAGAAACAGCCACGTCCGCGGACGGTATATATGAGTTATTATATTATTATTAGGTATGTCATAGGGCGGAAAAGACGGCGACGGACGTCTTCATCGTGAACGGTCACAAGAAAAGGGTCACAAGTAAACTTCACAGCCGGGGTTTGCAGGCCTAACGAAGTTCAGGTAATGCCCACGGCATTTTTGGGTGCTCTTCTGTATTGTTTTTGAACAAGCACACGAGTCACAAGTAGACAACTCTAATCGATTGTGGCCTGAATGTTCAAGTATTAATTTCAATTCTTTTCAATTTTTATGATATACCTAATACATTGTATAGTAATCATAATAATAATTTATAAAACGGGGGAAGTAGATAACCGCTCTGCTGTACAGTTACCAAGACATTGAGTAACCTAATGAATGTGCTACATTTGGATCAAATTATAAACCATTGTACAGTTCCAAAAACCCTACAGTTCCAAAACCCGACAGTACCACAACCTACAGCTAATGGCCTCAGTTTGCTCAGAAGCTTAAATAAATAAAAAAAAATAAACCATTGTATATGATGAAAAACGATTCTTAGCGAGGACGGTCAAACTTTTTGTCAATCAAGGTTACTAAACAATTATTTTAATAATGATGCTAACACTGCTAACATTCGTTTATTCGTTCTGTTTATACTATAGAATCAATGATTCAAAACAGTGTTGATTTATGGTAAATATTGGCAATTATTACTAATTATCCTTTAATCTAAAAGATTATTTTATTACATAGTAATTACGTGCAAATGTAAAATTTTGAACTCTATAAGTATATTATTTATGATGTACATTTTTAACATTTTAGTCTACATTTTTTTATCACATATTTTAGGGAAAATACGTTTTATTGCAATAATAAGAAAAAAAAGAGACCCCTGGATCATGGACAATTTTTTCTTTATTGCTCCAAAGTTACCTATCGTAAGCAAGTGCCCTGCAACACAACACAACGCATTCTAATTACTGTCGAATTGTATTTCACGTGATACTTTTGCTGTCGATCTTGCATTCGAGTGTTGCGTGTGTCTGTGTATATAAATATTACATGTATAGTCAAAAAAAAGCCTAAGAGACCGAGTGTCCAATTCCCGAGGAGGGTTTGACAATGTGCGGTTGTTGTAGTAGTTATTGTCGTATTGAGTAACCGCACCTTGTCAAAATTACGAGTAGCGTCTAAAAACGTCTATATAATCGAGTTTGCCGGTCGTCAATATATACGCGACTCACCCTCCGTTCTATTAAATTATTATCTACAACTCTTCCGTTCGTCAAACATTTTAGATAGTTTCTCCATGAGATATTTTATACATGCAATGTATACCGTGACATTACACAGGTTTTCTTTTATTACGTGGTTAATGGTCATAGTGAAAAGCTATTTATACATGTATAACGTTCAGCTTTTGTTGCCATGGACAACGGTCTGAGACAATGTACTGCCATTATAAGACTGCAACGAGTGAAGACTTAAAAAGTATACAAATACTTACTACAGAGCCGACTGGACCAAGGAGTAAACATTATTACAAAATAAATAAAAAATAAGAGTAACAAAAACCATTAAGTACTTAAGATTTCAAAATGAAAAATACCATAAGTAATATATATATATATATTACTCTATAATTCTTAAGATTTTTGTTAAAGAGGTACAGACAAAATGATTATTTTATTTATTTATTTTAGTAGTTGTTTATTGCAGGATTAGATTTACTTTGTTAACAAAATGTATTTTTACTTTTATGATTAACTTCAATACCTATAGTATAAATAAAGCCGTGTTGGCCATATACTTTCTGAATCTACATAATATATATTATAAGGTTCGATATATTATTGTCTTGCTCTTTCCTAAAAGTACGGATGTCTCCGAATAATGGGTTGTCAAATTTGGTTTGTAGGACTTTCAATTTTCGGCATCGGAGTTGGGGCATCCAAAACAAAGATTACAGCATTAACTATGATCGAAGGGCTCTCTGAACCCTCTATATGCGCAACGCATCGTGTATAGAGGCGGTGATTTGTTAACATAGTGCGACGTCGGGGGTAAATTGATTGTGGAGGGATGTTTGATGTCGAAATGAAGATAAATCACCTTAAAAACCCGACCCAAGTGGGTGGAAACTATTTTCGGATCGACTCATCTTATAACACACACACACGCTCTCAAAATATGGTGCCTCTAATGTTTTGTAACGATGGATAACTATAATCCAAACGCAAACATTTTATTCTTAACTTGATCTGAAATTGTTTACTCAATGAATCAACAACTACCTACACCTACATTCCGAGATGATTTATGAACCTTAATTACAGGTAGATATACAAATACTGCTATAGCCTATAAATGTGTTGCGTAATACTACATCTAAGTAACTATGTTTTTTTGATCAATACTAATAAATTGTTTTTTTTAAGATTTCGAATACATCTCCCGTTTATAAAACGTAATGTGGAATGGAATTATAATAATAACGATCTAAATAATAGTGATCACTACTCAAAGTATTTGTATATAGGTTCAATAACACATTTCAAAATTAATTTCTAAAAATACAGCACCAAAAACATCGCGTGACTAAATTAGTTCGAAGCATCTAAAATATATTTGAAATTGTATTTTCATAGTTTAACTATGACAGTGACTCATGAGTCATGGAGTACACATGTTGAAGTCAAATATAAGAAGTCGGAAACCTGAAAAGTGTCGAAAAGAAACGTCGCGATTTAGTACAATTTACAAAAACCATATAGGGTTACTCCATTTACAACTAACTTGAACGATTATAGTTCGAAGGAAAATGTCACGGCGGTGGCGGTGTGTGTGTAGCGATGTGAAGTCAGAAACCTACGCCCTTGATTATTATTATTTACCGGATACCATAATCTTAACGTCCAGCATAATATTGGGAACAAAAAAATACACAATATCTAAACCGGTGATCAAGGTGTGGCCACTGTGTTTTAACTATTATTTTTTTCCTTTAATGCGAAACTAAATTACACGAGTTTTTTTCAGAACGAGCGCTTGCGTATACTTAACAGATCGGCGTAGGTAATCGAAAAAACCAACCTCATGCTATAATATCACATCGAAAATCGTATACTGTCCTTGTGTTTTATTTTCTTATCGTATCGGTATACTTTCAAACGTCCATAATTGTATCATACGATGCACGCTTTTACGCTGTAATATAAGAAGTGTATTGTTATACTGATGTGTTTTTATGGTCCAACCGATAATACAACATTATATCATTATAGCTTCGGGTATTATGGGGCTTGCACGAATGTAAAATATATGTAACTAATATAATATACTCCTTCTAAATACATAGAAGTCGATCGTATTATTAAACTATATTATAGGCGCGAATGTTTGAATTAAAATTTAATTTCAATTTTAACACATGCTGGGTATATACGTCTATATCAAACACCCATCGTCCTTATTATGACTGACTCAATTGATCTTAAAATATATAAATAAATGGCTTCAGGTATCAACGAGTTGCTTACAAGAACATAAAATATATAACTAACAATTAATATACTCCTATAAATGAATGTAAGTCCATCGCATTATTAAAATAGTTGCATAGGCGACTATTTGAATTTAAACTAAATTTCATTTTTTACACATACTCAAACACCCAATGATTATACAAAGACCTATATGAGCTATAATAGGTTATATGACAAAAGTGATCAAATAGTGGCTCGCTTCTGGACACGTTTAATAATATTAAAATAATTGGTATTATTCCTTTTCGGCCTTTCCTGCTCGTTATACCATTTGTCATTGTATTGTGAGGGCCTAGCCCAGGCCCATCGTTAGATATTTTCTGTCATTAAGCAAAAATTTTGAATGCCACTCTTCTTTACCAATATTTATTTAATTTTGCTGCCTTCGATTTCTTCAAAAATGAAAGCCTCCATAAAGCAACACATGACTTCATTGTGTCCTAGAGACGGGGATGTATGAGACTCACAACTTTTTTTTATCGCTTGCCACCCCTTAGCTGTAATAAATGAGTAACAATCTATCTATACAATTATAATGCATGTACATTTTGACAACATATAATATCTTCTTACCCTCCAAACACGATAAGGAAAAAGATCGATTACGTTGTACTACATAAATATATTTTATAATATAGGTAAAAACTATGGTAAGTATTGAAATTGACATGGAAACATATGTTATTGATTGTTTAACAAATCCAGAAAATCGTGTATTTTTAAAAATTACAAAGTGTATTAAGTAAAAATAATAAGTTATGAAAAATCAACGTTTCACTCAAAGTTTTAATCTGTAATAAATCTTTTAAGCCTTACTAAAATCCGAAACTTATTTAATAATAAAATGGGTGGAACATTGAGCACTGGACAAAATACCAGATCTTTAAGGACTGATGGAAATAATGCCGATTCTCTTCAGATAAAAAAGATGGATTGGAGAGAAGAAGTTGTAAAACAAATAAGCAAACACCATAACCCTCAAACGCGTCAATTAAATTACGAACGCAACATACGCGCCTTTGAATCCGCTCTGAAAGCGTCAAAACAGAACAATAAATCTTACTATAAAATATTTAAGAACTATCTTGGATATTAGCAACCTTGGAAAAATAAAACCGTTTGAAGTTAAGTTGTTTGCTCTTATCAATACAACGTACAATAAAAAATGTAATAATTTATTTTATACCATAAATTTTTGTACAGTTATTCTATTTTATTTTGTGTTTGAGGGGGGAGGAAATATAAATCGAATCCAATTTAAATTACAATTTTATTTTTATGAAATAAACAGGCTCTTAAGTTGTATTTAAAAAAAATACAAATATAACACAACAATAGTAGCGGTAGTTTATTTTCAAGGATACCGCTGTGAATGGATCAAAAGAAAATCTCGCAGCTGAAGACCAGCATAGAGTTGACGATTTGATTATTTAAGTAGATAATCAGATCATTATGATATTTGAGTCTTCTGGATGGAATCACTGCATGGAAACTTTCTTTATAGATAACTTCCGTGAAATTTGTTGACTGGAATTTAAACAAAGTTTTACTTAAAAGCGTTTGTAAAAACTTATAATTATTATATTGGTACATGCCAGGACGCTCCGTCGGTGATGAGAAGGCAGATGTTCTGAGGAAAGCTTGAATAGTTCTTTTAATTTAAGGACTTTGCAGGACCCCAGATAGCAACGTCATGTGCCCAAAATTATTGAAGAGTGAAGACGAGCTCCATGTAAAACGAGTTTTGAGCTATAATGGTTCGGCCTCAACAAGAAAGACCGCAATTATTAATATTTGTACTTACTTTTTTATACTTCTTACGTTAGGTATCTGTACGAGTCTATATTTATGAGGAAAAGCTCATCGGGTTAAGTGTCTATCTAAAAAACAAAACGAAATATTTCAAATGTAGGTTTGTTGTGTCATAGCCGGGGCAGGCACACGTACATGTATGTGATCATTTTTTTCACGGGGAGGGGCTCGATGTTTTACGTTACCCACTTGCGACAAAAGTCAAAAGAATACAGCACCCAGGCCTGGTCGAACATACGCCGCGGTGTCCACGCGTAAAATATATATCCTAGCCTTTACACCGGTATACTGCAGCAGTGGTTACGGTACTGTGGGCACACACACACACACACACACACACACACACACACACACACACACACACACCCCGAACACACCTACCTATTATGTGAATATTTACGGGACTATTACCACTGCATATATACGAGTGTTATATGTAAGTATAATAATAATGTACGATTGTAAATTGTAACGATGAATGAATTTATAATATATAATATAGTACTTACCCATGTATCGCAGATGTGCCGCGCGTGCGCGGTGTAGACGACTGTCGGGAGCGCTGGTAAAAAATTTACGGTACTCTTCGACCCCGTTGCACGCCATATACACATTACACATATACATACTGTTATTCTTTTCCGTGACATTTTTATTATATCCTTTATCCGCGGGTCGTGCCAGTGACACACATATACAATAATACCATCTACAGTCTACACGCGTATGGCCGTCCTGACATACTCACACACACTCAAACATACTCTTAGGTACACGAATGAATGTACACACAGTGCACACAATAATATTATATGAAAAGGTGTGTGCGCAGTATAATAATATGATATAATATTTTTCTAATACACAACAATAAAACGTACGCCGAGAGACAGAAAAATAAAACACACACGCGACACACGTGTGAGCTAGATATACGCCCCTTTTTGTGTTGTCGACGTTTTCAGAGAGCTTCCTGTAGTCCCTTTCGACGAGCCTTGTGTCCGTACCTACGTGTAGGACACTAGGTCTACCTACCCATCTACCTAAGTTTTTTTTTACCGTAATTTTTTTTTTTCTTTTTGTCGCAAGTATCATTTAATTCTTTTTCGTTTCACCTTTCCACGCGCACGTGCAGGCGGAAACAGGCAACCCCGTTCGTACATAATGGCCTTTAATTGGATTCATTTGCGTGATCACATAATGTATATGTACGATATTAAATATAAAGAGTCGTTTAATGACGCCGCGCGTGCGAGCTCGGGCATGCGGTATGGAGGCAAAAAAGCCGACGGGAAGGAGCGGAGTCGACGATAGGCGGACAAGGACGGGGCGAAGGAAGAGGACGAGGAAAATATGGTGGACGGGGGAGAGTGGGCTAAACGGCGGCGTACGTCTGGCTTTTAATTAGCTACACACGGACAAAAAAACCGATTCAATTAGTGACCGTTTCGCCCGCCGAACAACAAAAGCCCCGGAGGCTGTCAATTAAATATTGCATATACAGGGTCTTCCAAATTTCGGGTGACAAAAATGGTGGGGATTACACTGGTTCTTACGGGACAGATCTGTCTTTTGTCACACAAAATTTGGAACACCCTGTATATATATACAATAAAATAATGGTGTATGACGACCGCGGCGGAGACGACAACGGAATGTGTTTTAATCAGGAAATCGTCAATGAGCGAGGAGTCATGCTGTTTAATAATATGTGCACAATGCACGTTGCACTTGTCCGGTCGATTTTCGTAGTTCGATTTGTTATTTTTTTTCTGTACCTGCATACTTTGATAAACGGTCTATTGACATTGGCGACAACCTTCAGTTCGTGTACCGAAATAATAATAATAATAATAATAATATGCGTACTGCCCGTCAACAAGATATTTTATGTATCGTACTACTGTGGGTATAATACTATTAAATCATTGTAGGTACCTATTATATTATTATATTAGTCGCCGCCGCTTATTGGTCTTGCTTGCTTATTGGACTCGTTTTCTTATTGGACTCGTTCGCCCATTGGGCTCACACTGCAGAATGGTCCCGATTTACATACTATTAGTACGATAAAGTGCCAATGAATACACTTTATCATACTAATAAATATAGGAAAAATGTTGTCCACTGGGCTGCGGTGACACTACAGGTTAATGCGGTCATTGCGTATTTTTAAGAAAATGTTTCCAAATTGTTTAGTCTATTTTCCCGATTTTATCGTTATCGGTTTTCATGTTTTTTTTTTTTTTTGAATGACGTACATTATAGAAATACATAAATGAATAAATATATGATACACATGACGATGCTTATATAATGAATATTTATCAGTACCTACCAAAATTGTATTTTAAATATTTTTCACCTTATATATTTACTCATTTGGTTAATGAACTCAAATAATGAGGTCTCGAAGTAAGTTCAGTAGTGGGCCACTACTGCAATATAACGTATATCATATTATATTGTGTAATACGTATAGTATCATGTTGTGATTATTCAGTACAATGAGAAGTGAAAACATAACCATTTTGGTCTCGATGTTTCGACGATTTAAATTGAATTTTCGTTAAGACAGGTGCTATGATAAATTATTACAAAGTTACAATTATTCTCCATCGTAATCGAACGGCTTAAGCGAATGGATACGGCGTAAATAATACTATAATCACTGATTATAAACTACCAATGAACATTCGTATACCTATTACACGAGATGACGAAATTTAATGACTTTAATGACTTAAAATGGGTACTTTTATTACGATTCTTTTTACACTTTAAATTTGAAAAAATGTGAATATTAAATAAACAGATGTTTATCCCTATAGTTACACATGATTATGGAGTATACTTTATAGCAATATTACCCAACCTATAGAGTGCATGTGTAAATAGAGCACCAAAAAATTTATATGATAATTTCTAATTTAGCGTTATCTACAGAAGGCATTATTGTAGCATTCATTACACACCAAAAATAATTTTTTATGGTTTGATTCAAATGAAAAATAAAGAATATAAATTTATGTACTTATACCTATATAACTAAACGTAAATTTTCGATCTTTTTTCATTAATAAATATTACTACCTATTACAATAATTACGGAACTAGAACATTTTTTCGTTTCCTATAGGTAGAAGAAGGAACTAATACGTATAGTGGGCCACCATATCAAAAAGTTTGTGAAACTCTGCTGTGTGGAATATACCATTTATCAAAATGTAGGTAAATTATGTATTTATTATTCCTCGTAATAGATTAATGATAATATATACAAAAATCAACCCTTATTTTTGGTACATACATGTAAATGGTTTTTTTTGTATGTACCTAAACCGACTAAACAGATGTTTTTACAATGACATTTTTTGATGTTTATCTTTACCATGATTAATGCAGGTACAATATGTTGAAATTTATTATTTACAAAATCGTTGGATCAACAATAAGTTAATGATGCATGATGAATGTATTATCACTTATCAGATAGTTTTTTTGATAAATAATTTAAATTCTTGGAAACTACTTTTTTATCATAACATATTTACTTTATATGATACCGGATCAACTATACAATTATCCAAGTCTCAATCTGTATATTATTATTTAATATAGCCTTAAAATAAAAAATAAATAACTAAATGTTGTCATGTAAAAAAATGTTTTATTATAGGTACAAAGGATACCATCAATAATATACCTCACGATAGCTAAAATATTATAACCAAAGTATCCTAATATAATGATCTTATATCGCACTCTGGCGAACCCTAAATGGCAACGTGAGGTATCTATACTACTTTAAGAGTGATACCCATGGTATTATATGGACGGGGTGGTTCATAAAATCCATTTTAATTGCTTCTCTAATTTCCCATGTTAATGTTGGAAATTACGAAAAAATGTTTTCTTATAGTCTAAATTCCAAGAGATATAATTAAATTCAAATCTTATCGCTAAATATTTCAGAACTGTTGTACCTATATATTTTAAAATATAGGTATACATCTGTTGACTGTATTATTATTTTACACTATACATTATGCCTTATATTATTAGTTATTTATAAAAGAGCTTGGTAATATGAAAAAAATTTCATACACGATTAACATAAAACTTTATACTTTCCTAAAGATTTTAATGCATTATTTGTTAGTATTAAATTAGAAGTCAACTGAAAACTCAATCCAGGAATAGTACTCTAATATTATCATATAATTTGAATGATTTTTTCTAAAACATTTATTTTCATTGTGCCTACATATTATATTATGTGTATTATATTATTTTAAAAAATGAACCCGTCATAGTAATTAAATAAAATTTTGAATTTTGAATGTAACTTTCAGAAACTACAAAAATATAAATTAAATTTTAATGAGTAGGTTACATACCTATACATGAACTTCATGCACCTGTTGGCTGTAGGTCTTTCTTGTAATAGTTCATTTCACAATTTAAACAGAATAATTAAAATCGCAATACATGGGCACATTATTCAGAAGTATAATATTCATTGTATATTTTAACTTGAAATATAAAAACTTAAACACAAAAACATGAATGATGTTGGTGTTGCATTGTGTTTATTTACTCGGCCATTCAATTTTTCGTATACAGCCACGGGCAGTACATACAATTAATACAATCTATTCCAATTAATATTGTTCCATTATTCAATTCTATTAACCAATATTATCCTATAAAATGTAATAATATTATTATGCGGGTGAAACAATATTTACAACAAATTTACATAATGCCTACTCGAAAGTCCGATCCAATCAATTTACCTATTACGCATATAATACATATATATATATATATATATATATATATATATAATATATATGTTTTATTGCAAAATTGTAAGTATCTGTGTAAATAGTACCTACACCTATGTGGAGTACCTACCGATTTCCAAGCCACACAAACGAGAATGTATACCTATACGATTATTATTTAATTCTGTTTATTCGTAAAATAGGTATATTTTGTAATATTGTGATTTGATAATATCAGCTACCTATATACATTTCGGTTAAACATAAAAAATTATCGGACCATTATTAAAGCAGCAACCTAATAAGCAACTAGAAACTTACCATGCGTGATGACGGGTTCTTGTGAAACGTGTTGTATCTGTATGTAAATTACGATTTGAGATAAATAAAACAATAATATGCCTACAGCCTACGTTTATTTTGTTTACTTTGGTCAGATTAACATCTCGAGGTTTTTTTTACAAATGAGCATTCTATGGGGAAATAGGATTAACGCCTATATAATAATATGTAGGCTGTTGTGTACATACTGCAGTCATTAGTACTGAGTAGGTTAAATATTTTAAATTAAATCAAAACACACTGCAGATGATGGTATACTTAATAATATTATTACTACGACGATAGCTTATACAGAGTTATACAATATACATTACATTAACATCTCGCGTTCGTCGAAAATAGCTTTTACAGACTGCACTAATTCTGTTATGTGGTATCGCATGATGAAGTTTGATCTCGAAAATATTTCGACGATAACCGTTTAGGGGCGATTATTAATTAAATTTTATGAAGTGCTTGAACCAATTACGATATTTTTCCTTTCTAAGATAATATTTTACAAACTATACAACAGCTATACTTGTGCACTATCAAACAGTTATTGGACCATTATTTATAAGTATGTATAATTGTTTCTAGGTACACTGTTCGAAGCTGTTTTGCCGTATGTTGTTGTATTGTTTAAAATATTATGGGAAATTAAAATGGATGACTATTGTCCGTTTTTTCAAAAAATGTTGTTTATAGTTGAATACCATTTCTAGCGGAATGTAACAGTTATTGCATCCCGCACGCACTATTGTACCCATTAGGCAATAACAGAAAA